CTTTCCGAAGAGAACAACTCAAGTGTGCGAGGTGAATGACCTTTTACATCTAGAGCTCACACCATATCTTCTAAATTTAGAATCTTTGACTTGCTCATAATTCTTTGTGCATCTTTTTCTTATTTTGGTTTAGTTTTATTAGAACTTTGATTAAAGATACGCGAGATATAGGAAAAGTGCATCCTGACAATATAATAACAAAACCCAGATTCATTCTTCAAGTTGTTTGTTAAGATGTTTATGTCACGGAATCCCCGGCCGGTGGATGCGGGTTTGTTTGTGTTTGTCTATGGTTCGTGTTGGGTCTTGTTGTGTCTTTCGTGTTTCTGCGTGTTTTGTGCCACTCTCCTGGCAGTGTGGGGTGGGGGGCGTCCCTGCACTACTCACACAGTGGCTAGGCATCACCACACCTTCTCTCATCTACCATCTGCAGTACTTAAGGAGCAGCCACCTCCACATCGCTGCTGGATGTTGGAAGTATAGTGGTAGTCTACCACTTTTCAGCAGAATTCACATGTTGCCATCTAGCCCCTGTTTCCGCCTGCTGAGCCATTCAGCTTACCTCTGTTCTTTTGTCCTCCTACCTAACCGTCTCTGCCTCAAGGAATCAGTCTCCAGCTAATGCGCCTCCTGTACAGTGTGTGATCCCACCCTCAAAGCCTGCCAGCCAGCCACCTCTCTGGATCACCCCCACCTCTGGACTCCCACCCTCTTACCTGCCAGTCCCCCTTTTTTCACAAATTCATCTTGTGTCAAATAAACTGTTAACACTCAAACTTTGCGATCTGCTTCTGGTTCCCTCAGAATCCTGACATTGTTATCATCAAAGTTGCTGAATTTTCTTTTACTCTTGTAGATTTTAGTTGAATAAGTGGGGAAAGTAACTACAATAAAGAAATATGAGAAATATCTGTATTTAATGTATCTAAATTATTTTAAAGAGGTTTAATTTAAAATCTCCTAAAATATAACAAGTTTATCCTCCTTGTTTACAAATCAAGAGAATCCACAAGACCTTTTCCATTAAAATCCTTGACGGTAGAAGTCAGTGGCGATAAATAACACCGCAACTATGAACATTAATTCTAATCTGTGCAAAAATAAAGAAATAAATAAAATAAAATATTTGTCAGCAAACACACAAAGTAGTACAGTGATTGAGGACCCTTTAAGCAATATAGTAGTACCACTTTGTAAAATACAATACAAAAGTCCTGCATTTAAATTTGTACTTTTACTAGTAAAAGTACAGAGTATTAGCAGCAAATTGAAGGTAAAATTGTCAAAAATAAAATAGCTAATTATAAAGAAGGCCTCCTTTGTGGGTTAATGTGTAAAAGAGTGGGTAATTTAATCCTTTAGCTTCATATTTACTGGCTTATAATATATTATCTGTAATGTAAGATATTTATCTGTGGAGCGTGTAGAAATATGCTGCTGTAGCACAAAATAGAAACACTTCAAATATAAATGCACCACTGAGCAAATTTACTTAATTTCCAGTTACTCTCCACCTCAGATACTGTGTAGGGTAGTGAAGGAAGGATCTCATTGTTTCTTTGATTACTAACTTTCTGTGGAGAAGCTCCATGATTTGTTCTGACGGGTCATGTCACATGACCACTACAATCAGTCTGTGTTGTTCAGTCTAGGGAGAGTTGTTTAAAGTCACAAGTTCAAACTGAGATGTGTAACTATGTAGAAATAACGCGTATAATATAAAAAAGTATAATAATAATAATGTGAATTTTATTTTACCGTGGATTTTCTCTTTAATAACATGGATCAGATTAGCTGTAATGCTAAAGAGGTATAATCACTGCCATTTTAAAGACTCTGTACGTTCAATGAGCACACCTTTGAGTTAAGATTAAATTATGTTTTGCTAAAGTGAAGTTTATCACTGGAGAGTTGGTGAGAAGGAAGCTGTAATCCCAACTGTGAACACTATTACAATCCTATGGTTGCAGCCGCGAACCCCAAACATGAAACATTGACGACAAAAGGTGAATGAGCTATTTATTTTGGGAAAGTTGACAGCAAAAATACAGCTAGAAATTGCCATTTTTATAGATATATGCTCATCAAGGATACTATCCATGTCAAATAAAGAGCTAAAACATAAACAAATAAAACAAGAAGTGTGGACTCCCAAGTTCAGCTCCTCAAAGGAATTACAGTAATCTAACCAACTATGAAGACATGGATAACAGATTCTACACGGTTACTGTTACATATGAGTAAAACTAAGTGAAGGAGGTTATTAGTTTGCATCATGTGGATAATAGCAATCTTAGAACAGAAGAGATCATCGTTTGCACACATTAAATCATTCTAATAATTTGTCTACAAAATAAAATATAAGTGCTAGTGGTAAATCTTTTTCTGTGTTATATTCAGATTTTAAACAATAAAGACTGGTTAATAAAGACATCACACTATCATCATTATTACCTACGTCAGTGTATGGCAGTGATAACTAGATAATAAAAGACTCATCATGTTATCTACTACAATAATTATACTGTATAGAGTCAGATCTAAAAGTCTTTCTAGATTTACAAATATATTTATGCTGACATGAACCTTTGCAGTCTTGCAGTGGATTTAAAGATCTCTGTTTAGGAAACTGCAAAACACATAGACAGACCTAGTTTGGGCTGAAGTGCATATTATGGCAAACTTTGTTGAAGATTCAGAGGAAAGATCAATAAGGGTTTCTATTGTGCACTACCAAAATAAACATTTGGTAACAAATAAAGCCTGAGGTCACAAAGACCTTTAATAAAGGTTGTTGTGACCCAAATGTTGGACTTGTCAATAAATACTTTGTGACATGATCTGATAGGACATGTATTCCATCCCCATGACCCACCCATACAACTGATCTTGTGAACTTACTAAATGGCTTATCCAGCTGAATAATGTTAAAAAAAAACAAAAAAAACATTACATAATACACCCCTTGAAGTGGCAACCTATTTGCCACTCTGGCAGGACATACATTTTCTGTACTCGTGCTTGTCGTAAGGCAATAAACTCCAAAGAAAATCCAAGAAGGAAACCGATGTAAAAAGGAAGAATGCTGCGATTTATTCTCAAAATATAATCCACTTTGAACAAAAATAAAAGTTTCCAAGCAAAATCCTGTGTATCCGGTCTGTCAGCTCAAACTAATTGACAGTAAAAACATTAAGATGAAACAAAATATCAGTTATGATTAATCCTTATAAATTAAAGCAAAATAGATATTAACTAATTAGGCACAAAATGCAAACATAAGCCTCATGTTCTCCATGGCTCTAACACCCCTGGAGCTTTTAACTGGCTATTGAAAGGATAGGAAGCTGTGATTGGTTGTGATTTGGCCTCAGAGGCAGGGTTTCAAGTCTAGTCACATATAAATGTGGCAGCACACTAAAGGTGCGCACTTGGGGGCTCTTCAGGTCAAACTGCTGTTGACCATGGCAAAGTGCTGCTAGGATGCTTCATTGGGACAGAGGTAGGAGCTCAGATGACAAAGGGATCTCCACCAAACCACAGGTTTCTCCACTGTAACCTCAATACCCTCCAACGCCACAGGCCCGACCTCCTACACCGCCTGATTGATTGAGATTATGAGAAGTGTATAATGTCTAAAGAGCCAAAAGTGTACTGTAGTCAAATCTGTAGCTTTTAAAAATATTGGCTTTGATGTGATGTGAATACTTTGATTATGTTTGTGAATACTATATCTTTTTCATGGTCGACTATTGGCAGTAATATTTAACTTGTGTTTTTTTTTTTTAAATGATGCTTTTAAAGTAAAATAAACCTTTCAAGAAATATTGATAGTGAATGAGAAACTTTTCCATTTTACCTAAATGTCTTAGTGTGACCTCAGAGAAGCTGATCTCATAAAATGTATGTAATCAATACTGTATCTGAGTCACCTTGATCAACAGACATACCCATTATTTATCAGACTTACAGTTTTAATGAAATCCAACCATCCTAGGATAAAGCTTTATCATGTGAGGGGTTGTAAAGGGGCTATATCCTTATTTTTTTAAGTTAAATGTAAGTTCTACTCTTCTGTTTTCAGTTTTACTTGTATTTAATATTTGAATTATGTATGAATGTAACAATGGTGCTTCGCTATTTCAGTATTCTATATACACGATCTCAAAGATGTTATCCACTGTGCACATCTATATTTATTTTAATGGTTAATTAAAACTTTTTGGGGTAGAAAATAACTTCTTTCCTGACTGATGCCTGATGCCGAGCTTGTTTGTGTA